GGGAGGGAAAGAAAGAAAGAAAGAAAGAAAGAAAGAAAGAAAGAAAGAAAGAAAGAAAGAAAGAAAGAAAGAAAGAAAGAAAGAGAAAGAAAGAAAGAAAGAAAAACAACAATCACAATAATTTGTTGAACTTTCAAAAGGAGAGAACAGAACTGAAGCCACCAGAGTAGGGAAAGGGGGAGGGGAAGAGGGAGTTAGCAAGAAATTGGCAAAGGGCCACGAAAAATAATTACACGTGTAATGATAAATACAATAATTATCCTGATTGGAGAATCACATACTGCACACAGGTATTGATATTCAACCTTTTACCCCACAGATATGTACAATCAATTATCTTTCAATAAAAACAAAAAAGCAAAAAAATCCCTTCAAGTTATCTTAAGTATCATTCAAATACAGATAGAGCATATATTTGCAAAACATCCATTTAAACAACCTTAACACTCATAAATGTTAAGAGTTAGGTATTGGAAAAAATACTTTCTACTTTTTTGCTTAGATACCCAAGGAATCCAATATTTAAAAAGAAAAAAAGTAGGCCATTGCTCACTAGAAAAAAGTAATATGTTTATGTGATATAAAAGCAAAGAAAAGTATATTTTACTGCATATATCTTTGAAAGGTAATCACTACAATTCACATATATAATATTACATATATATTTAAATTTGTTATAGTTGTTTGTCTAATTCTATATCGACGATCTTTATGAATCATTTTCTTGTCTGCTCAATTTTTAAATATAATTTTGGTTTAATTTCACTTAAATTGTTTACTTCTTTGCTATTAATCTTTTTACACACTTCATAATTTTGTATGCTGCACGAAGTCTTGTCTACTTTATCAAACAATTTTTTCATAGTCTTTGATGATTATGAGTATACATGACCAAACATATAAATAAGAAATAAAACATTGAGTTATTTTCATATGGTTGTATGTAAATAAATGCCACATATTGGGATGTCTAGAAACATCTATATATCTGGCAACATGCTGACAAAACATCTGTGATAAATATATGAATTTGCCAAATTCTTTCCAGATATATGCTCATCACGTACACACAGACTTTAGGATTTAGCTATGCCACACACCCTCTAGAGTTTTTGTTTATTTTGTTATTTTGCAGATATAACTATTGAAGAGCTTTTTCCACTCTTCTATAACAGACATTTTATAGGTGTAAAATGTGTATAAAATGTGGATTATAAAAAAAGTTAAAAAAGTTAAAGACTTTCCACATAATATCACAAACCTTGTTTAACTATGTAGATTCATTCAAAAAATTCACTTAAAAAATACACAAATTGAGTGTTTTATTTAATTGACTAATGGTCAATCCAATAGCCTGTAGAGAGGAAAACAAATCAGAAAGTGACTAGTCTATTGGAATTTCACAAGGAAAAGCAGTTTGTTCTTATTCCGATCCAGTGATTACTCTAGTTCCATTAAATATCTACATTTAAATTTCTAAAATCGTATCTGTGTCTAGATACAGAAGTAGAAAAAAATCCTTTTCATGAAAACAAATATTTTTTTGCAAGTCCTCAAGAAAGATGTTAGATTTGAAAGGGGAGATGTTCACGTTAGCTTAGTTCTTTGGAGTCTCAAAAGGCATGGAGTAACAATGATTTTATTTGATCAGAAATATTTTATTTTCAGGATTCAAACCACACCTACATTCAAATGTCAACTACAGAGGGGGGCAAAAAAAAAAAAAAAAAAGAACCAAGAGTCATGAATCCTCTTGGTATGGGTGAGGCTTTTCACACTCCTGTACAACTTTTCCCTCATCTTCAAAATTAGACTTGGGCTAGATATTTTTCTAAAACCTTATGGTTCTATATAATTAAACAAACAAAGAGAAAAACTACTTTAAACTAGTTTTTAGTTAAGTGTGTACTTGTCTTGAAGCACTTGTTCAATATGAAAACTAGCAAAACAATTTAGGGAAAATATGTGGAATGATACAAAAAGCAAAGCCAAGGAAAAGGTTAAATGGATATACCAGGAAGTCTTGAACTCCAAATAGCTAAAATCGCAAAACCAGGTCACAAATTTTTGATTTTAAATCGAAACAATGCTTTATACAAACTCACAATATTATTTACTTTCAGTATTTTTGTGTTAATCCTTCTTGCATGTAAGCAAAATGTACAAATTTGTCAATAACACTATCATTCATAATGAGAGAGAAAGAAAAAATAGAAGCCTTTTATTTAAAGAGAATTATAAAATTCTCCATTATACTAACATCAGGACTTATGCAAAAGTTCTCAAAAAGAGAATAGCCTCTGAACTAAGGAACACTAATCTCATAAAAATGACAAATCTCTATTACAAAGTCTAGCAGAATAGTACTTAATGGCTTTAAACCTGAATAATTTTACAAACTGAAAGAAACTGAAACAGACCAATAACTTTTAAAATGCATTTTAAAAAATAAAAGAAACATACAATGAAAAACTTTTCAACTATAGATATAAAGAATGACCATATTTTATTGACAGAATTATCTGAAAACGGTTTTAGAAAAGCAGACAACAAACAAATCAAGCAAACAATCAAGAAACAGAACAATAAAAGAATAAGCTAAAAATAAATAAAGAAAAGCATGCTACAAAATCTATACACAAGATAAAATTTCCATTTACAATAAATAAAATTGAAGTAAACATGCAAAAGACGCACCAAGAAAAGTAGAATACATCCTTGGAGACGGAAAATTAAACATGCAGAAAAATAAGAGTTTAAGTTTTGAGAGCAACAGGGTAGTTTGAGGCCCAATTTACCTTCACTGTCTGACATGGCATGTTGGAAGTCATCCATGATGAATGCTATGTCACGGTCATAGCCTCGAGTCCGTGATTCTTCTCTCATGTGTTGCTGAACTTCAGGCAATGAGTGACTTGATCCAAACTGATCCCTGGTGTCTGCAGATATTGGTGGCAGGGGTCCAGCTGCAGCCCTGGCCATTCCCATTGGCTGGCCAACAGGACTGAGTGGACTTTCTTCTTCAGAATTCTGGGCCACAATTGGTATTCTTCCTCTACTCTGGCTAATTGGCAAACTGGTAGGCTTAGTTCTGGCAGAGGATGATGCATGACTAAAAGAAACATCTAGAGCTTCAGCTTCTTGAGCTTTCAGTCTTAGGGAAGAGCTGGAAGAATCTCTTTTAATTGATAAATCAAGCCCATAGACAGAGGAGGGTCTGGAGGAAGGTCTGGACCTGCTGCCACTACTGTATGGCTTATCTGCTTCATCCTGCAGAGCTGATCGTATGGTATTTCCTAATGTGCCCAGAGATGATCCCATAAACTTTTGTTGGTCTGTAATATTTTTTCTGAGGCCAAAAGTGATGTCGTCTTGAAGAAGTCTTGCCCTGGAAGAAATGCCACCAATAGAAGAAGTGCTAGAAGTCATATAGCTCGAATAATCAGGCTCAAGGTCTCTACTTTCCTGAATAGGTGAAAATTTTGACATTTTAGGGTCAATCAGTGATTTCTTGTGCTTTGATTGCTTTTGATAAAGTATGGCTGCTGGTAATTGTTTTGCTGCTTGTTTTTCCAGTGTGAGTCTACTGATGCTATACTTCTCAGACTTTGGAAAATGTCTATAGCTAGTATCGGCATGGTAATAATGCGAAAGACCAGCAAGGTGATCTAAGCTCTCTGTGCCTCTACGGAATTCTTGTTTAATCTGATGTTTCAGAAGCTTTAACTCATAAGGCTCCTCCATTGGGTCTTCCTCTGCTTTTACATAACTGTGCAATCGGGAGGAAGTCTGTAAAGGTGCTAGGAAATCTGTCACTTCTTGAGACCTACGTGTCTCAGTGGTTCGAAGGAGACGGTCTGTTTTTGACAGATCCTTTTCGTGAAGGCTAAATGTGGTGCTTAATGCTGCTGTTCCTTTTGTGATCTCCCCAATTTCATCAATTAGGACATAATTTCGTGGAGTGTGATGGTCAATATCTGCATAGAAAGAATCTGCAGATATGCTTGATATTGGGCTGCTTGCTATACTGCTTCTTTCTTCCAAACCTATTCTCAAGTCTAAACTATTGTACTTACTACCAAGATGGGAAACAGCGTATGTATTATCAGTAGAAACAGGTGCTATCATCAGGGGTTGGTTGCGAATCACTTCATAGTTTGAAGTTATCTTGGGCTCCAAATATAATGTAGTTTGCCGTGGCTTCTGTTGTATCACCATCATCTGTGATGGTAACTGGTAAGAAGGCTGTGGCGTTGGTGTAGGTTGAGCTTGTGGTGTGAATGACATTGTCGCCACAGCTTGGAATGTTGGCTGAGTCTGATAAGGTGAAACTTGCTGATGGTACAAAGTTTGTTGCTGAAAATGGGACTGTTGGGTGTAGGGGGTGGGAGCTTGGGTAGGAAGAGCAGGGGAAGAGTATTGGTATTGTGTGTAAGGACTTGTAGGAGGAACTAGCTGAGATTCTGTTTGGGTTTGTGGTGGTATAAACTGGCTGAATTCAGTTTGGGGAGCAGTCCTTGGTCGCTCAATGCCATGCTGACTTTCTATTCGGGTTGGTCTGGTGCTGCTCACTTCGCTGTCAGACATGTAATCACGATCCTCAGCTACACCTTGGAGGTAGGCTCGCTCTCTCTTTTCTCTCTCTTTTAATAATGCCTCTTTCCTCCTGTTAATTCCCATTTCCAGGTACCGTAGCTTGGCATCAATCTCCTTTTCTTCCTCATCAAGTTCTGCTTGTTTCTTTCTAAGCTTTGCAGACTCCCTTTCCACAAGGTCAAGCTCTCTGTCTATGTCCTGGAGAATCTTGGCTCGTGCCATTGTGTTGGTTCTGCAGATTCTTCTCCTGGAAACTGAGCCCATTGTGCTGTATGTCGGCTGAGTTCCCGTGGAAGTCTCCTCAGGAGGTGGATTTGGCAGAGTTCTCTTGACTTTTTTCTGTGTGCCAGAGGGTGTCATGGTTTGAGAACTTTTTGTCTATAATCAAGTAAACAAAATATAGTACTTTATTATCAAGAAAAAACAAAGACCAAAAAAACTTTAATAATTTACACTTACGTAAAAATGATTTTATATCTTTTAGCTATCACAGCACAGCATAATAAAATTACAAATTTACATACAATTTCAAGTATTGGTCACAAATTCAATTAATTGGAAAGGAAAATTTTCCTTTCTTGGTAAACTGGTTATTTATTATTCTAAATCCTGTAACATTAGAAGTGAATTTTGAAATCAAGTAACAAACAAATTGCTTATGTAGGCTTATATTTTAGTTAAACTCTTAGGAGAACTCTAAAAATCTCATTTCTATGTAGATAAATATACATAAGATTATTTACTAAATCTGTTCCCAGAGTATTTCTGCTAACCATCTAAAATTTAAGTTACATTTGTTGAAGATGTTTGTTTACCATATTAAACTTGATATTGCACCTGTCTCTCCATTCTTACTTTACCCCCTGGAGTGGCTTCCAAACATTTTTGAGTCCTGAGAAACTAAGTAATGAGTTGCACAGACAGTTTAAAATCTCTGTTCTAAAGAAAAGTTTTCTAGCATATGTGGGGTGCCCACTGAGAAGCCATTAGAGGGTCAAAGATACCATTAACGGATAGTTGAGAGTAATCCAGAAAGAATCATCTTTGGTTAAATCTTAAATATGTTCATTCATGCATTTCCCTTCACAGCATACTATTTTCTTTCTCTTGTTTCTAGAATACAAAAAGCCATTCAATTCACTTAGACAAATATTTATTAACTGCTTTCTCTGTCCAAAGCACTATGCTAGGCACATTTATATGTAGAGAACCCAAGCTATAGAACCATTAAAAAGCCATAGATTTTAATTTGTGTGTGTGTGTGTGTGTGTGTGTGTGTGTATGTGTGTACTTTGTTTTAGGATTGATTAGTATCACTTAAGAGGAAAAATATATAACAGAAAATTTGAAGTATCAGTGACTTCCGATTTATAATTTAGAAAGAACTGACTTTCAAGGCCATAAAAACCTTTTAAACTGGGTATTTAACTCTAATGAAATCAATATATTATAAAATAATAGAATTCAGAACTCCAAAACAGAGAATAAAAACAAAGCAATATAATTGCTTAGAAAAGATCAAGAGTTGTATAAAAGAAAGCTCATCATGATTAAAAGTGATGTAGTTGCGAAACATGATTAAAGGTGACAAGACAACAGTCTAGAAAAAAACCATAGTGTTTAATAAGGTTTTCCATGTTGACCTACTTGGCAAAAGTGGTTTTTGCATAGATCTGATGCCCTTAATGTAAAAAAAAAAATTACTAAATGTACTGCATATATAAATTTAAAATACTTAAAAATATCTATGCAAATAGCAAACAAAGGGAAAGGAACAGAAAGTACTAACAAGAAAATGAAGTTGAAGGAGGACTGGAACAATAGCTAGATTGCAATACAATGGAAGTAATTGGGATAATAAGCAAATAACTTCCATGATAAGTTTTGTTGCCCAAAGTTATTTTAAACAATGTTTTCTTCAGAGGAGCCCATGTATATTATGCAACTTAGAGGGCAAATGAAAGGAATTTTTGCTTATTCTGAGGAGTCAGAAATATTAATAAAAATAAAAATAGCTAAAGTGTGTGGACACACTATCCTAAGGACTCTGAATATATGTAATGTGCATTATCTTATTGTCAAAATAATCAAAGATCAGTTTAATAATGAGAAAATGATATCTTTTTTCCCCCCCCCCAAATTTGAACAAGCTGAAAAATACATAGGGCTATAGTTTAAAGTCACAAATATCAGATCAGCATTATCCATTGTTTGGCATATATAACAAACATGGAAAATTCAATTTACTAATTTATTGAAACAGTTGCTAGCTAGGTGTAATTCTAAATAGCTTTGTTCTAGTTACTAAAGGCACAGAGCTAATGGGCATGAGATAGAATGAACCTAGATCATGCCCACAAAGAACTCATAAATCAAAAATATTTTTTAAGAGGTTGTTCTATGAAGAAACTACCTCAGTCTTTTGCTAAATAGCTCTCAGTGTCAATATCAGAGATCTACTTCTAAATCATTGTACTGCTTGAGAGACATAGGAAAGGCATTTTTCGTTTTATAAATATAGAAAGTCATGCTTGCTATTGAAAGTAACAGATCATCATAATAATATCTTGGATTTTTAGGTTTGGTTTTCTTTACAGGAAGCAGGAAAGATTTTTATGAAGGCCCTTTACTTTTAGATGATGGAGATGTGGATTTATTTTCAAACAGTGTAATTACACAAAGATTTATTGATAAATAATCTTTGATAATACAAAAATTATATAATTTCTAGAGAAAACAATCTCTTAAAAGGTCATTCGTATAACATGGCAAAAGAAGAATTAGAAAAGTATAGTAACAGAGTATATTGGGACTCAGATAAGAAAGGGGAGAAGGAAGGATGGATTAAGATATAACAGAAAGCCTGGGTCTTAAAAAATGGATAGGAAAATATTTTCTAAGTAAAGGAAACAGTATGAAATGTGAATTTTCAGAGAAATACCAAGGATAATCTGGTTTCATTTAGGGCTAGTGATGTATTAATACCTGTGAGATGGGAACACATCCAGAGAGTGTTCCATGAAGAGAGAGGAAAAATGGAAGAGCAAATAAAATACACAGAAAAAACCTTGAAAGCTGTATCTATATTAAAATCTCAATTCATCCATTTTCTTCTTTTACAGATGAAAAAAGCAACCCTAGTTATTACCTACTGGTCAAATTAACTCCAATACTATGTGAAATACCAGGGCAAGTCATCAAACTGGAAATGTGCAATCACTGGCAATGACTTGCAAGGAACTTGCAATGAAGCACACTGGGCAGCAATCAGTGTGGCTTTGTCAAAGAGAAATTGTGACAGCCAAATTTAATTTCCTTCAATGATAATGTGACAGTCCATGTAGATAAAACAGAAGCAGTAGATATAATCTAGCAGTGCTTCAGCAGAACATTTAGTGTTTTCCCATGATGGTCACTACCATAGTTTTGGTCTTAAGAATGGAAAGTGGTGATAAAATTTGTCAGGGATCCACATACAGACCATGGCTATTCATGGTCCAGCATCAATACAGGTAATTAATCAGTTTCTCACCCCTGTACTAATGATTTTGGATCAGATGATTCTATGTAGTTGGGGGGTTGTTCTGTGCGTTGTAGGATGTTTAGTTGCAACTCTGGCCTCTAATCATTAGATACCCTGTCAATCAAAAATGTCACTATACATTGACAAATGTTTCCTGGGGAGCAAAACAGTCCCTAGTTGAGAGCCAATGATGTAGGGAATATATTAAATAATGTCATCAGGAAGGCATCCTTATTTATTGTTATTTAATATATCTATCAATGAAGAGATTGCTTCTATTTGCATAATGTAGTACCTTAATTTGAATGGGAAAAGGCAGGCTTGTTAGAGGAACTGAGACGTGAAAGGTGCCCTGAAAAGAGTACAGAGTGGGATAAAGGGTAAGAGAAAAGGAGACATTCTAGGTTACAGTAATGATCTGAGAAAATTAGTAAGAATAGAAATGTACCAGATTGTTTTGCTTTAGTATAAATCTGTCTTATTATCCTAAAATTAATCTCTTTATCACATAATTCTACCTAATAGATTAACATGAACTAATGTTAAAAAATATTCAGCTAGGTTTTTTATAATATACTTTTTTCAGAGAACAGGGAGAAATAGAAGTTGCCTACAATTATGAGAATGAGTCCACTCAGTGCAGAAGAGTAATCTTTCTAGCCTAGTTCCATAAAAATCCTGAGAATTTTTTCACAACTGCAATAACTATGGAAAAGCTAGAGTGTAAGGAATTGCCAGTCTGACTACAAAATTATGTAAATGCTAGTACTTTGTTAAAAGTTGCCTGTCACTCTAAGTTTAAAGAAGTATCAGTGATGTAACTAAAAAGAGATTAAAACTTCAAGAAGAAAGGATGATTATTTACTTTGAGAAATTAATACCAGAATCATCAGGGGAGATCAGTTGGATAGCTAAGCTTAATTTTAAAATGAAGAAACTCTTGCCATCTTAAGCATAATTTAAGAAAAAAAGAAGTAGAACAAAACAAAACCAAAAAAAGAAAAAACAAAATACTATCCAATAGCTCTGGGAAAGTAAAAAAAAAAAAAAAATAGGTGGGGACAATTTTAACGAACACAAATCATTTACATATTGTTCACTATACAAATACGGAGATTATAATTATGAATAGAACATGGTCTATGCTCTTTAATTGTACAATAAAATATACAGAACTTGAGAACAGAAGTGCTTTCAGGGTCATTTGCCCCACCCTGTTTGAATTCTCATGCAGGAAGTGCATTTACTCTGAATATGATAATAAGTCTTTTCTTTATTTTGGTAATAAGAGTGATATTCACACATATTATACTGCTCTCTGACTTTATTTTCTTCTGCTCTATTCCTGGCCATTCATTCTTCTTAGGGTGCATAGATCATCTAAAAAGAGCGATGCCTCTTAAGCATTAACAAAGGAGTGAAATGTGTAGGTTTTTCTTTTCCCCTCTAAACAAAATAGCTCTTTAAAATACATAAACATAGATCACCATATTCCTTTAACTTTGGGAAGTTAGGGTGGGGAATTAGGATGAAGCTGTAAGGCAAGTATAATGCTGCAAATTGAAAAACATGCCTTTACACATCCTTCCTTTTAAATTATCTGGAAGCAGAGTTTCATTCTCTGAAATGTCAATGAAAACGTTAGTATACCTTTAGGGGATCTTTGCCTGTACTCCCAACAGCAGCAGTTTCCAATTTCGAGACAAAATAGCATTTGAGGAAGGAAATATTCAGCAGTCTATCCTATGCACTATATCATTAATAATGTGTTCCCCAAATACACCCATTAATTATCCCCATCCCTCCATCCTCCATTCCCACCTCCATGGAGCTAAAACATACAACATGTGTAGTG